TTTTATTTATAATTTCCTTTTTGGGTTTGTGTTACATGCCCAAATAAGTAAATCCGGAACGTCCTGAGTTTGTATATCGTTGCACGAATAATTCAATTGATTTAAATTTTTTTTTATACATTTACAATACTTTTTTCGGAAGCCCGGGTAAACCGATCCAGCGTTACCCAATCTAAAAAATTTTGTTAAACAAAATTTCGCTATTAGATTAGGGTTAGTGTTGTTATTAAGTTAGGTTAGAAAAAGCTTAGTAGAACCAAAATTTCAGAAAACTTTTTTTAGTGCGCAAAAAGGTGGTTTCATAGATAAAATGTTAAGTTTTGAGCGATTTTTTTGGTTGGTTTGATTTTTTGCGTTTTTCCGTGTCACACCTGATCTTGAAATCTGATTGGCCAGTAAAATTTTTTTTATTTAAAAAAATTTGTTTTGAAAATTAAATTTTTTTTTTTACTGTATGAAATTTAATTTCAGCGAAAAAAACGGATCACATGCTTAAGAAGGCCGATCTCGAAGGTCGATCATTTACGGGTATATAGTAAATTAGTACAGTACGGTAGTACAATTTAGTACGTACGGACGTAAAAAAAGAAAATTTATGCTCAGACGTACGATTACATATATTTAATGCATGATCGATTCGATTACACATTTAGTACATCATATGATTGATTTTATGTATGATCGTGATTGATTTTATGGTGATTCCTATATTTGTCAAAATCCCTCTTATAGTAACGATCCACTTTGATTCGATTGTTGCAAATATGGATGATATATCCGACGTTGAAGAATTTCAATTTGACGAAGTAAACCCTGAATTCGAACAGGTAATATACAAAAATGTTTTAAATAGTAAACGTCTGTTTTATAAAGTTAAAATTATTATTAGGAATCTGAAACAGAGTCGTTGGTAGAGGAATCAATTGACGACGAAGAAATTCCAGAGATAGCATGTTTTACATCCCGGTTTCGCATAAAAACTATAATTCATTCCAACCTACCTATCGAATATCCAGCTACTTCACCAGAAGGAGTTGCAACGATATTCCATATTACAGATTGGGCTGATCCAAGTCACGCATGGAAAAATGTAAAAACTTTTTTAATTTAAAATTAATTTATATAAACTAGATTTACAGCATAATTTATTTATGTTAGGTACAATATTCTATGGGTGGTGGTGGAATTCATTTGATTAAAGAATCTCCATATTTTGGCAATGTTCAAGTAAATAAGGAAGAACGTGATTGTATGGGAATCAAAGTTTGTCAATTTACTGATCCTTCGCTTACAAGTATTGAGCACAATGAGGTTGATATTGAATCATCGTTATGGAAAAACATTACTGAAAATCGCAATACTGATTTTAAAAAAACAAGTACTTACATGTAAATATATTTTAATAATAAATAAATATTGTCCAATATATATTATCATAAAATTAACTTTTTTTTAAATTTAGTACTTATTTAGCTGCTAAGGGTACATCTTGCAAATTCAAATATAATAATGAAATTGCTTGTTCTGGAAATCCGGTTTTATGTAAATCACGTATTTCTCAAGATCTACCGAATGTATATCAATGGTTTATTGGCTGTTCAATGTATCGTGTTGGAGATAAATGGCACCGTTATATTAAAGTTGATAGTGAAAAAGTTGATATTATACTTCTTCGAGATTTATTTCTTGGAAAAGAAGAGGTATTATATATATATATATAATTAACTATCTTATATAATTAATATAATATTAATTTATTATTAGATACAAGAAGAATTACCTTATTGTACA